ACGGCGTGCTCTACGTCGGCTGCAACACGGTCACGGGCGGCGGCGACGCGGGCGTCGGGAAGCTGTACGCCGTCAACCCGAAGACGCGCCTCGCGGCCGCGCGCGCGTAAGCGGAGGTCCATCCCGAAGGTCGAGCGGCCGCGGCCGTTAGCGGGGCGCGCGGCGTGCCTACTCCCAGATGCCCTGGTAGCCGTTGACGGACCGCAGCGGCGACACGGGCCGTCGCTCGACGGCCTTGGCGCGGCGGATGCCCGCGGGCGTGAGCACGTGGGCGTACTGCTGCTGGTGGAAGCGCCGGCTCGGCGCCGTGGCCACGGTGCACTCGCCGCCCGTGAGGAGCGACGTCGTCGACCCCCACTGGTCGAGGCCCTGGAGCTGCGACGCCGACTGGCCGTGGGACGTCTGCTGCGACACGCCCGCGCCCCAGGTCTTGCCGTAGTTCATGTCCTGCGTCGAGATGTTCGTCGCCTTGCGGTGGAAGTTGGACATGGAGAAGTCGCCGCAGGGCGCGCGCGTCTCCATCCTGAACCCGGGCCGGTCGGCTAAAAAAGACGCGGGCGTTCTGCTGAAGGAGCTCGGCGGGTACTGGCGGATGGGCCGCGTGCGGCCGTGCTGGGGCAGCCACTCGAACTGCTGGAGCGTCTGGAAGCTGTCGGGCCGGCTGCTCGCCGCCCGCAGCTGCTCCTCCCGGGCCGCCTCCTTCTGGGCGGCGACCGTCCGCGTCCAGTCGAAGCCCTGGCCCAGGGGCAGGTCGCCCGTGCGCTGCGCCTTGCCCCGCCCGCTGTAGATCCCCGGCGGCATGGGCATGGCGCTAATGAGCCGACGCCGGCGCGGGGAAGCCCGGCCGGCCACACACGACGACCTCGATCGACCAAACCCAGCCCGGATAGCGCGGCCGAGAGCGCTCTCTAAAGGCGGCATCATCGGCGGCAACATCCATGCAAGAGCGCGGCAGCATCTTGTGTTGGCAGCATGGATGCGGCCGGCCCGCCTTCGGCGGCCTGGCGCGCGCCGCTCGAGGAGCTGTGCTTCTTCCTCTACGAGGCCTACCCGGCGACGGCCGCCGCGGCGCGCGACGCCCACCCCGACGCGCGGCGCACGCTGCGCGCCTGGTGGGCGCAGCTCGACGCCCGCGCGCAAGCGGCGACCCTGCGCTGCGACGACGCGGGCGTCGCGGCCGTGCTCCGCTGCGCCGCGTCTTGGCGGCGGCCGGCCCTCGCGCGCTTCGCCGTCGGCGCGCCCGCGGACGCGGCGCGGCCGCGGAAGGGCCGGCGGCCGCGGCCGGCGGAACGGTACGCCGTCGCGCCGCTCCCTTCGCCGCGCGCCGCGGACTGCGACGACGCGCCCCGCGCCGCCGCGTCGGCGCGCCTCGCGGCCCTCGCGCGGGTGCGCTACGCGCCCGGCGACGACGGCCTCGACGAGCGCGGCGGCGACGACGACGACGCTCCGGACCGCCGCGCGGCGTCGCCGCGCGGCGAGGTCGCCGTCGAGGTCGCGGCCGCGCCGGACCTCGTCGACCTCGTGGTGGCCGTGTCGCGGGGCCGCGCCTTCGGCGTGCCCGTCGCCGCGAAGACGTCGGCGGACGGCTGGTGCCAGACGCGGTGGTTCAAAGCGGCCGTCGACGCCTCCGGCGGCGCGACGGTCGGCGAGCTCGTGGCCAATTTGGTCGAGGCGCGGCTCTGGTGCGGCTTCTGGGCCGCGGCGGGCCGCGCGCCGCCGGCGCCGGCCCCGGCGGTCGACGACCTCGATGGCTGGTGGCGCTCGCTCGCGCCGGGGCCCCGCGCGGCCGCGGCGTCGCGCGCGTTCCGAGGAGCCGCGGTCGCGTGCGTCGCGCGGCCCCGGGACGGGACCTTCGCGAGCCTGCGGCGCGCCCTCGAGGGGCTCGCGGCGGCGTCCGCGGGCGCGTCCGAGGGCGCGGATGCGCCGTCGGCGCTCCTCGCCGCGGGGCTCGCGGCGTCGACCGCCGAGGTCCATTTCCGCCGGAGGCTCCGCCTCGAGCTCGCGGAGGCGCGGAGCGCCGCCGCCGCCGTGTCGCTCGCCGCCGAGGCCGACCGCGCGCCGGCCGCCGCCGGCGCGCCGCGGAAGCCGAAGAAGAAGACGCGGCGTCGGAAGCGGCCCGCGGCGCGCGCCGCCGAGGCGCCGCGGTCCGCGTCGTCGGACGCGGCGTCGGACGCGCCGCCGCCGGCCGCCGCGCCGCGGCCCGCGCCGGAGCACGCGTCGTCCGACGAGTCGTCGTCGCTCGACGCGCCGCCGCCGCAGACCGCGCCGCGGCCCGCGCGCGGCGCCGCGCGGTCGTCGAGCGACCCGCCGCCGCCCGAGCCGCGCGCGCCCCGGTCGCTGTCGCCGCCGCCGCGGCGGGCGCCGCGGCGCGCCGCCGACGCGCCGCCCGCGCCGCGCACGGCGCGCGTCGCGCGCCGGAGCCCGCCGCCGCCGCGCCGCGCGTCGCCCGACCGCGCGCCGCCGCCGCGGCCGAAGCCGGACGCGGCGCGGCCCGAGGCCGCGGCCGCCGAGCGGCCCCGGGGCCTGAGCTGCGACGAGTGCGCCGCGCCGCCGCCGCGGCTCCCCGCGGCCGTCGGCGAGCCCGCGGGCTCCGCGCGGCCCGCGAGCAGCCCGTCGCGCGACGGCCAGCCGCGGAAGCCCGCGTCCTACTCCGAGGCGCTCCTCGGCGCGGCGCCCAAGGACGACGCGCTGGAGCGCGAGGCCGGCGCCGTCGACCTCCTGGGCGCGGCGAACGCGGCGCTCCGCGACGAGAACCTGCGGCTGCAGGCCGAGGTCATGCGGCTCTGCAATGAGGTGGTTATCTGTGCCGGAAATCAACCGCTGGTTTGTGACAAATCGATTCGGCCGATTTTTGGACGAATCAATCGCTCTCGTCGAGTTCTCGAAGCGGAGCCGAAGAGCTCGAAACGGTCGCGCGCGCGCGCGTCGACGTCGCGTCGACGACGCGAGTGCCGCGCAGGTCGCCATGTACAAGGGCGCGACGCCGTCGCTGCTGGGCGCGCCGGGCCAGCTCCACGCGCACCTCGGCGCGGGGCCCGCGCGCCGCGCGCACCGCCACAGCCACCACGGCCACGGCCTCTTCCCGAGCTTCGACTACTTTGCTGGCGGCGACGCGAAATCCGACGACGGCGCGGCGACGGCGCCGTCCCTCGAGCCCTACCCGGCCTGGCCCACGGTCGTCGAGGCCGCGCCCCTGCGGGCCGTCGTGGAGCACGGCTACCGCGCGCCGAGCTACGGGCGGGCGCAAGCACAGTCGCAGTCGACGCACCGCGCGCACAGCTGGTGGTCCGGGCCGGCGACGCAGGCCGTGCCGCGGTCCTTCGACGGGTCCGGCTTCGACGGCGAGACGCGGTCCGGGTCCGTGCGGTCGTCGCTGCTCAAGGGACACGCGCCGGAGCCCGAGGTCGCCGAGGAGTCGTCGAGCGCGGAGTCGAGCCGGTCCGGCGGGGAACTCGACGACGTCCACTCGACGCTCACGCGCGGCGGCGAGGCGCCCGAGGGGTCCCTGCGCCAGTCGTCCGTGGGCGACGGCGACGAGCTCGAGGGCGAGGAGTTGTTAAAGCGCGGCGGGCGGCGGCGGCGACCGGCGGCGGCGGTCGCGGACGACCGCGCGCTCGCGCACGAGCGCGCGCTCGCGGTCGCGTCGCGCGGGTCCCAGAGCCGCCTCGCCGACGACGTGCGCGCCTTCGCGGAGAAGGTGTCGCGGGAGCAGCGCGCGCGCGACTTCGCGTGGCGCTGCGCGCGGGAGAAGGTGCGCGGCGCGGTGCGGTCGCTCTGGCCCCGCGCGCGCGTCGAGCCCTACGGGTCCTGCGTGACGCGGCTGTCGCTCGCGGGCGTGTCGGATTTGGACTTGGTGATCCGCCTGCCGCGGGTCCGCGTGGCGACGCCGGCGATGACGCCGGGCGACCTGGAGGGCCGCAACGCGATCAAGGAGACGTGGCCCCAGGAGCTGGCGCGGAGGCTCCGGTCCGAGCCCTGGGTCGCGGCCATGTCCGTGCGCGTCGTCGCGTCGGCGCGCGTGCCCGTCGTGAAGCTCGCGACGGTGCCCCTCGGCGACGTGCGGGAAGCGGTGCGGCTGGACGTGTCCTTCGAGGGGCCGTGGCACCGCGGGCTCGACGCGAACCGGCTCGTGGGCCGCGTGCTCGGCCAGCACCCGCACGCGCGGCAGATCTTGCTGGTGTTGAAGCAGCACGCGGCGGACCGGGGTTTATGTGCGTCCTACACGGGCGGGCTGTCGAGCTACGCGCTGACGCTGCTCGTCGCGCGGTTCCTCTCGGAGCAGCCGCGGCGCGGCGTCGACGCCGGCGCGCTGCTCCTGGGCTTCTTCGACTTTTACGCGCACAAGTTCGACGCGGCGACGACGTCCGTGGGGCGCCACTCCTACTTTGCGCGCGCGGAGCTCGGCGCGTTCAACGGCACCGTCGTCGCGACGCACGACGGGCCCCGCGGCGGCGGCCGCGCGTTCCGCTTCGACCCCCTCTACGTCGAGGACCCGCTGTCGCCGGGCAACAACGTCGGCCGCAACTGCTTCCGCATCGCGCAGATCCAGCGCGCGTGGCACGACGCCTACGTCGCGCTGAGCGACCGCCTCGCGGGCGACCCGGGAGGCCGCCGCCGGCGCCGGG